GGCAGGTCAGGCCAGTGTTTCCCCCACCCTTTTGTCCATTGTCCCTATGAGAATTATGCTATATGTGGGCGCCTGGGTGGCTCAGTCGTTAAGTGTCTGCCTTCGGTTTGGGTCATGATCTCCGGGGTCCTGGGATCGAGCCCCGCATCGGGCTCCCTGCTCCGTGGGAAGCCTGCTTCTCCCTCTAACCTTACCCCCTCTTGCGCTCTCTCACTCTCTCTCTCTCTCAAATAAATAAAATCTTGGGGCGCCTGGGTGGCTCAGTCTGTGAAGCGTCATGGTCCCAGGGTCCTGGGATCGAGCCTTCAGCTCGGGTCATGGTCCCAGGGTCCTGGGATCAAGCCCCGCATTGGGCTCCCTGCTCGGCGGGAAGCCTGCTTCTCCCTTTCCCACTCCCCCTGCTTGTGTTCCCTCTCTCGCCGTGTCTCTCTCTGTCAAATAAATAAATAAAATCTTTTTTTAAAAAAAGAATTATGCTATATGTAAGTTGCCATAAAAAATTTTAAATATTTTATTGGTGACATAAATATATAAAATGTTAACAAAATAGAAGTATATTAAGAGAAATATTAATGTTTTAAAATAAAAATGTTATATCACTCTTGAAGTTATTACCCAAAAGAATATAAATGCCACAGTGTTCGGATGACCCCTATCAACTCCTTCAAAAATCAGAAACAAGCTCTCCCTGCATAGTTGGAAATTGGACACCATTACCTTTTCTTCTTGAACTTCTTCATTCCACTCCTCCCTGCAAGAATTTTAAGTAACCTGTTTCTATGCTGAAAAGTCTTTCATTACTCACCATATTAACAAACTGAATTTTTGATCACGCTATTATCACAATTATCAGTAGTGCCCAGCTGATGAAAACATAAAGGTACTATAGGGTTTGGTAAATATTTATTCATCATAACAAGTAAAATAAATAAAAACACTTAGTGTATTCTTTCACTAGAAAGGGCGAGTGGAAGAGGGAGGTCTCTATACAGTCATTATCATGCTCACCTGTTCTATGTGAATCCAGATAATACCAATACAAATCCAAACCCAAATACCCCATTTCTGATTTTATGTCAAGTCCCTGGAAAGTCCTGGTATACACCGCGGTAGACAGAGAGCTCAGGTCTCAGCAGTGAGAGTCACAGAACAACACCTTGCAAGAAGGATGGGAGTCTCTTGGCACCAGTAAGGGGAGGAGGGGAGGACTTCCAGACGGTGGAGAAGGAACCGTAGGAACTTCTCCGTAAAAACAAGATCACATCGACTTGGGGACAGATGAGATTACATTATTTCAAAATAGACTGCAGTGTCTATCTTCCTAGAAAGTGGCTGTGTTTTCCTGAGGGGTCAGGTTTAAAGGAAGTGATTAAGAGAAAAATGGAAAGTGTCCACCGTTTCGTGAAGCTTATAAGGAGAGAGAGATGGGGTATGATGAGCATGAGTGACAGGGAGGGTAAAGGACACAGAGCAGAGAAGATCCGGAAGCATTTGCAAACACGAGGCTGATGCAGCCTCGGGATGGGTGGGTTTACTGGGAAGCCAGAGCAGCGTTGTGAGGACATCATCCTGCTGCCTCTGTGAGAAACACCACCTTGCCAAGGAAATCCGTATATCATACCAATTGACGTCATATATATATGTTTAACGGAGTGTCTCATAATTCTCTCATTATCTGCAAGTTCTTGTAGGCCTCCAAATCAAGTCTTTCCTAATTTTTAAAATTATTTTCATCACACCCTTCACATTGGACTCTGCGGAAACTTTATTCACACCAGGTGTGCTCGGCTGTGTCCAAGAGCCTGTGTGTGAAACTGTGAAGTCACAGCTGTCCTCGGGCTTGGCAAGTCAGCTCTGGTCCCCAGGGCAGGAAAAATAGACATGGTTTGGGATCACATGGCAGAGTAGTAATGTAGTGAAGGAACTGACACTAAATTAGGGGAAACAATGTCTTAGGAGGGTTATTATTTTTTTTTTTAAGATTTTATTTATTTATTTGACAGAGAGAGACACAGCGAGAGAGAGAACACGAGTAGGGGGAGTGGGAGAGGGAGAGGGAGAAGAATTCTCCCCGCTGAGCAGGGAGCCCGATGCACGGCTCTATCCCGGGACCCCGGGATCATGATCGGAGCCAAAGGCAGACGCTTAACGCCTGAGCCACTCAGGCGCCCCTATTAGGAGGGTTATTTTAGTTCTAGTTGTTTAAAGAAACACTGCTATATTATTCTACCCAGATAAAAATGAAAGCACCTAATCTCTATCAGTTATTATGTTAAAGGGAGTGAATGAGAGTACATGGTTCATCATGTTATCTTGAAAAAACTGTGTCATCACCATCTGGTTTCACCCAAATGAGAATTACATTTATTGTAATTTGTACAGTTTCCCTCACGCCCTCCTTTATGTGTTTTCCTTCATTGATTTAGTGCTGCTCAGTGCCAGGTACATAGGTCACCAACAGTCTTTGCCCTTGAGTGGGTCACGTTCTCGCTGGGAAAATGACACCTCCCCAGCTAGTTGTGCAGATCGGACTCGGGAATGTCCACACCCTGGAAATGTCTTCCCCTAGCATGGACTCTAAAATGTCAAGCAAGAACTACTTTTTACCATTTCAAAATCTTTCAAAGCTTTTCAAAGCAATCCTAGAGAAGCCACTTTGGTTTTTTTATTCAGAAGAGATAGTGTTCAATAAAATACCTTGTCTCCCTTTTAAAGACAAATATATAAAATTATTCTAGTGAACTACATATAAATGGTAGCTATTTTAAGTAAAGTTGAAAAACTGATTCTCTTTTTTTAAAAAAAAAAAAAATGAGGGGAAGTAAATAAGCAAGGTGCATTTTCATGTTTAAAGACACTTATTGTTGACTATAAACATCCTTCTTTTGGGGGCAGAAGCAAGGTGGGTGGCCAGCTGGAGAACAAGACTGACGAGCACGAGTCCAGAAGCCCTTTCTTTACCCGCTCAGGGGACCACACACACTTAATGACACTTGCCATGTGCCTGCCCTGTGTGGCTGGGGACTGTGGAACCTGGGGGAGGAAACAGGTATCAACCAAATAATCACACAAATATGTAAGTTCAAAATGTGGCCAATTCTGTACAGGAAAAGTCTTGGGACCCTAACAGAACAGCAGATAGGATCTGCCATGTTGACGTGATCTTTAAAATGGAAAGTAATGGCTCGATCATTTTTTCAAACGAGTTAAAAAAGAATGTCAAAGGCCATTTCAGGGTTGGGTTGACGGAGATTCTCTTAAAGAACTTGAATCTCAACCCACACACCCAAGACCACTATCTTTACGGTCACTATTTCCTGCCTCCTTCCAGGCACGGAGTGAGTGCCATGGTTGGAGCCTATGGAAGAAGGATTTTCTGCCTTTCTATCACCCAACCTAACAAACTGTGCCAGGCTGCAGAAATGAGCTTGGAAGCCCAGGACCCTCTTCCCTTGTGCACGAAGCCAGCGCCGAAGGAGCTGCAAATCTGTTGCTAGCAGAGACCTTTGCAGCCCATCCCTCCTCCTCCTCCTTCTCCCCACTGCTGGTCCTTCTCCCTTCTAATAGAGTATCTTCTCTCGCTTTTTCTTGCACTTGCCAGCCCTCCTCCTCTCAACAGTGCTGATGGCCACAGGTGTCAGAAACCCCTCTTCCTGCATGCTCTGCCTCAGGAAAGGCTTTCTCCAGACACCAGCATCCGCCACGGTAGACATGTTTTCTCAGTCTTTCCTCCAGGCCCAGCCTTGCCCAGAGCCCCAGGTGCTGGACAAGCACACGTTTTCACATCCCACCAGCACCTCAGATGTGTCCTGTGACCAAATAAGGCCCATCAGTGTCAACTCAGCCAAAACTCAGGCATCATTCCCTCCTTCTTCTTTCTCTAAACCAGGGGTCCTCTACCTTGAGTGTGTGCTTAAATCCCCTAGATTGCTGGGCTCCAGCTTCTGGGTCACTAGGTCTGGGCCTGGCCTGAGGATTTGCACACCTGACAAGTACCGGGAAGATGCGCTACTGCGAGAACCACATGACCTCCTCTGGTCACTGGGTCCTGTTGTCCTTTCCTTCTCGTGGCCTCTGTGTGGTTGCTCCCACTGACTCACGGGGACTTCCAAGCTGGGGTCCCTGGTGCCTTCCTCTCTCCACCCACCCACCCCATACCTGCAACCCGAGGACTCCCCCACCACTTGGAGAATAAGTTCTAGGCTCCTTCGTGTGACATCAGAGGCTCCCCATAATTCAATCCCAAACTCCTGCCATCTTATATCCTACTCTACCCCGGTCCGGCCCTTCTGCTCCAAACGTGGTAACATTCTGTTCCCCAAACACTTTGGTTCAGCACATTGGGAACGAGAGAACCAGGAGCAGTCCCAAACATCTCACATCCCAGGTATGCAATCAGAGAGCCAGTCACTTACTCCGGGGGCCTCAGAGTCTGGGTCCTCAAGATCCCTAGTGGTCGTTACACCTGTGTCCTCCCCGAAACTCGAAGGTACACAACAGTCCATGAGATTTACACATATATTTAACAATAGGTTCAAAATACATGCCGTGTCTACGATGTAGCCTAGGGCCATGGCTTGGGACTGTAGAAAGATTTCTCTGAAGTGATCGACACTGTTGGAAGCTGAACCCGGACTCATTAGCTATCTGTTCACCTACAAGCCTGTTTCTCAGTTCAACAGATTGGAAGGTCTGTTCCCACTGGTAATTGAATTGGTGCATCTGTGCTTTGAACCGTCGAATGTCATTCATTTTACTCTTGGTTAAGTTGGCGCAGCACTCCTGGCAGGACCGAGGTTCGCCCTGTCAGTCACAAAGAAGCCAAGACATGCACTCAGTACGTCACATGGACGTCTGTCAGCATGAGCTCATGTTTGCTTATATAAAGTTCTAACTTTACAAAATAAAATTACATTCTCATGTTATTTTTTAATCTCATCTTCCCTTTGGGGAAAAAAGAAAAAACGTTGTTTTAAAGTGATTTTCCTGTGTTTTTTTAGGCTTACCTCCAATTCCTTCAGCTTCCAGGACAGGCTTTGCAGAATTTTCCATGAGGGAACGCATGAGAGAGAAATTACAAGCTGCAAGGGTGAGGAAAACCACATGAATATTTTGCTCGGTGGCTGATTGCCGTTCCTCAGGTCTTGTCTGGAATGCTCTGTCTGCTCAAAACTGCACGGGTTTGAATGCCGTTAGATTTGTTTTTCTTGTTTTAAATATTAATGTGGTATTTAACATTGGCACAGGTGGAAAATTATGCTTAAGAGGTAGTCAGTGTCGTTTTCCTTAACCATTTCACTTGCTCTTCTCTCTTGAAGAGGTGCAGCATGTAGTCTTTACAGATTGTTTTCTACCAAGATGGTGACTGAGGTTTTCACAGCATTCCTGTCGCTACCCAGCAGTGATTCTCTGTTTGACTTTGTAGTCCAAAGCAGAAAGCACGTTGCTGCAGGAAATTCCCACCCCTCGGCCCAGGCGCTTACAAAGTCCCAGCGAGAAAGAAATGGAAACTGAATTTGGCACGGAGGTGAGAAACGGACCTTCTCTACTTTGTGATCAAAAACAATGAAGCAGAATATAACATCTCCAGAGCTGTTTCTAGAGTTTCTAGAACAGAGCTGTGCACAGAGGAGGCATTCAGTGCTTATCAATAATCATCATAGCTACCATTTATAGAGTCTTGCTCAGGCCACGTGTTTTCCCTGTGTTCTCATATGTCATTATCCCAACACCCTGAGGTGTGGGTTCTATAGTGTTCATTCACATTTGACCAATGAGGAAACTAAGGTTCAAAGCAGCCGCGAGGCCATTCCCAGGTCACAGGGCATGCATGCAAGAGTCAGGATCAGATTCCAGCTCTTTGTCATTCCCAGTCTGTCTTCCTGGGTCAGTGTTGCTGGCCTGTGGATCTTGCTGGGAAGCAGAGAGAGATAGGAGTGCAGTAGGAAAGTAAGGTGGGATGGTGGGGGCCTTGAATGTCACACAAAGGGCCTCGGTGGTTTCCTACAAGCCATGGAAAGCAGTTGACCACAGGCTGGGGAGGTGGTTTGAATGCACTGGAGTGAATTTTGTTTGAATCCGAGGTGCTAGGGGGACATGTCAATGTGTGAGCCTCTAGAAACACATACGAAAGAAGGGACCAGGCTTGGAGAAACCAGTTTCGGAAGCATTTCTACTGTGGTGAGTTTTGGAGTTTTGAGCAGCCTTTGTTTCCTGACAGAACAAGACTGAATGAGGACGGTCTTGACAGTTGGAGAAAAACTGACAGTTAAGACCCATGAGGAGGATAGGAAGCCAGTAAAAGACAGAAGAAAGTCTTGTCAGGGGTGTAGATGAAGGACAAGCCTGTAAGAGGGTGGAAGAAGGAAGGAAAGAACAGAGCAAATGGCTCAGTGAAGTGTCTACAAGTCTAATCCACTTGTTGTGGATCGTGATGGTTTGGGTTGGTTTCACTCTTGAGACAAAGAAGCGCAGGTGTGAAGGAATTTCTGTAGAAAAACCACTGACTGCTTAGAGGATGCCTTCTCTTTTTCTGTGACGAGATGTTATAACATTTTGCCTATATTCATCTCAAACAAGCCAAAGATTGCACGATTACAAGGAAAGTTATATCCGTGTTCATGTTTCATGGCCCATGATTCTTGAGTAGAAACGTTCCATGGTCTGATGAAATGGTTTTATGACAGTTTGTTGCTCCATTCTGCTGAGGAGACATTTATTTTTCTTTGATTCCAAATTATTTTCTTCATTGTAAAAGCCATAATTTTAAAATATTGAAAAATAAAAACTACATAAAATCTCATCAGCTTGACACAAACACTTCCGTTATGTTGTTAGGTGTGTGAATCCTGGCATCTGGTCAGATGGGCTAAATGATCGGATGATCTGGTCTCTTATATCTGAGCCTGTCTATACTTTTTTTTTTTAAGATTTTATTTATTTGAGAGAGAAAGAGAGAGAGAGCATGAGTGGGGGGCAGGCAGAGGGAGAAGCTGGCTCCCCGCTAAGCAGGGAGCCTGATGTGGGACTCGATCCCAGGACCCTGGGATCATGACCCGAGCTAAAGCAGATGCTTAACTGACTGAGCCACCCAGGCATCCCTGAGCCTGTCTATACTTTCTGATTGATAACCATTCACAAAGTCATGGCAGCTCTCACTTGTCCATGGGCCATGAATATGATATCCCCAATAAAGCTTTAAGTTGTAGAAGTAAAAATATACTCCCTTGGCTTACAGAGTATTTATTGCTTTTTGTGAGCAGGACCTTGACTTATATCTATTATATTCCATATCCCCTAAGAGCCATTCTATGGATTTGAGGTGTTAGAAGAGGTCATCAAAAAGGCATGACCGCTGGTTGACCTGCGAGCTGGACCCAAGCAATTGGAGGCTCCTCACCCCCTCTCCTGTCTTGGGAATGTGTGTCCCACTTGCCTTTCCCACTCCCAGAAGCTGCCCCAGGGATACAGCCTTGACATAGGAATGTGGTGTTGACCATCTGCCTGGTATACTTGACTGAACCCAGTTAGGACCTCTGTATAAACTTCTAAGATTCGGCAGGCAGGTGCGGGGATCTCATCTTGCAGCCACCCAAGACATGCCTCGTAAGTTCCCTTGCCGATTAAAACTTCCACCTCCAAATCTAGAATGGTCTGCTTCTCTTCAGTCTCTCCTTGCCCTCTGCGTGCATTCATAGCCAATTGGCAAAACAACATGAGACGAACATCAACTGCCTTATCTCTCTCTCTCTTTTTTTTTTATTTTCAGAAAAGTCCCAGAGGTGGGACACGGCTAATGCTCTCAGTCTTCACTTAGCTAAGCCAGGAGCTCTCAGATCTGGGCTATAACTCACCTTCCAGTCCACGGGCTTTTTAAAAATACCTCCCTTTGGTTTTTTTCTCCTTGATGACCCCAAGTGGTTAAGAAAGTGAATTTTAGTGAACGATATGGAAAGGATATATAAAATTGCTTTCAGCACAGCCCTGGAACCATAACAATACTGGATGATTTTAGCTCTCAAGAAAGAAAGAAAGAGAGAAAGAGAGAGAGAAAGAGAGAGAGAGAAAGAGGAAAGAAGAAAGAAAGAAAGAAAGAAAGAAAGAAAGAAAGAAAGAAAGAAAGAAAGAAAGAAAGAAAGAAAATTCCAGTAAAGAAAAATCAGTTCTAAGGCACACTAAATAAGATAAATATGTGTGTCTACCTTAGCCAATTGCAGGGAGGAAGAAGAGGCATCAGGCTTATACATTTTGGCTTAGGGAATGAAACAGCTTCAATAGTCAATTTCATTGTATTTTGTATTTCTTTAGATTCAGGTTAACCATGATAGTGCCTTTTTAAAGTCTGATTCAGCCATCAGAAGCCGTATAACTTACCAAAGGGAAGAGTAAAACCGAGTGGGCAGGAGCTGGGGGACTGCAGAGCTCAGCTCATGTCTCAACGACCCGCATGCATGGTGTGACAGGACAGGCTGACCTGGCAGGAATGAGTGACTCCTTTTCCCATGAAGTTGTGACAGACAGGCCGGGTTCCATAGTTTCTTTCTCTTCCAGTGTTGGGTTTCAATGATACAGTGGACAAGGGTGCAAAATAGCCAAGTTACATGAACAATTGACTCATTGCCCTTTTTTAGACCTGACCTCAGGCTATAAACAGAATATCTCACAGAGCAGACTTGTTGATGTATAGACCTCAACCCAGAAGGAATATTGAAAAAGTGGTCCATTTACATCCTCTTGAGCAAAGAATGGAAGACAGGAAGAGCCCAGATGCTGGACCCCAACTGCCCAGCGTTAAATGCTGGCAACCTCACTCACCAGCTGCGTGATCTTGGAAGTGTAATTTATCTCCTCTCTGGACCCCACTTCCCACCAGAAACTAGAGCCTGAGGCAAGGATTTTTCATGCCTTATTTGTGTGGCTTATTCTGAGAAGTGGTATCAATGAACAGGAGTTGGGAACTGGGGAGAAAGAAACAGGAGGGAAAGCCCGTTCTGGTGAATGTTACTGAGCTGGCTAATGCTGTGGTGCCCAGGGCTCGATCCTGCCAGGGCCCTGCTGAGGAGAATGTTTCTCAGAATTGCCTGCCTAGGACCTGGAAGAGAGGGTGTTTGTCTCATGGCTTCTGTTCCCAGCAGGATTTGCCCAAGGCTCCTGGCCTTCCTGGTTTTGTCTAAGTCTCAGAATGTCTGAGTGGGTCCTGCAGGCCAGTGATGAGAGCTTGAGATCCTTGGAACAGCTAAAACCAGGTGCTATGAAATTTCACCTGTATGCAACTAGATGTCCAGCCTGACCAGAAGAAAAACCAGAGTATCACTTAGATGTAATCTATCATAATATCAAGTATATATATATATGCGCCATTCCCATTTATGTAAAATTCTATGCCTCAGTCTCTAGTCTCTGGCAGACTAAAATAAAACATTTATGGTCATGTGATGTAAATACAAACCAGGGAGATCAAAGACATGTAAAAAGAAAATTAAGAATGTGGTAATAAGACCCACCATGATTGAGCCATAACTGTGGGCATATTTTAGGTGCATTGCTTTACTTGATGCTCAAAACAAGTGTCTAAGCTGTAAGTGGTGGAGTTGGGATTCACAGCCAGGCAGTCAGCCTCCAGAGCCCATGGTTTGATTACTAAGCTAGACAGAATAGCACCTGATATGCCTCAGACAATAAGATTCTAGAAAAGAGATTTCATTTTAGGATGGAGGAGTCTGAGAAAGGAAGTAGCTTTGCATGGTCTGGAAAAACAGGTAGGACTTGGGAAGGATATGTGGGAGGGGCCCAGTGCAAATACACTACATTCCATTTTCACTGATGAAAATTATTCCATGCTGTGACACAAGTCTCAGTCCAGATAATAATAACAAGGTTTCCATCACAGGTAGAATAAGTTTGTCCCTTCTTACAATGAAGATCCAGATATACTATTGGAATGGCTTGGAGTTACTCAAAAGGAAGGCTTGGCATTTGGATTGTGCTGGGTGGAAAAGGATAAGTAGTCAGGTTCTGAAAGGGGTGGATTAAAAGCAGAGATGAGGACAAAGTGGGAACAACCCTTGGTGGATTGGTCATTACAGGATGAAGGGAACCTCCATAATGAGAATTACCACATGGGGCTATCATAGATAGAATTTGGCTTCCAGGGGGGAGAGCAGATCCAGGGGCTCACAAGGACAGGCCTAGTGCCCTGGAGGGTATATGTCAGATTTATTCACATCCAGGCATTATTGATGCTTTTCTTCATAAATTGTTTGGAAATGGTCCTCTGTGAACTAGATAATCTATTGATTTGTAGAAGAAAAGCATTTGTCATTTTAGGGTCCTTTGAGTATAAAATTTTGTATTTGTTTAGTCTTGAGAGAGACAGAGCTAAGAAAATATTCAGCAACCTTAACCTTCAAATATATTTGACATTTGTAAGCATTTCATTCCTTGGGAATGATGGTCTGCACCAATGGTCAGACAGTTTCCCCTTTGAGAGTTAATGGGCTTGTTTTAGAACATCTTTAGTTTCTTGATTTAAATGTTCTGTCTATCCTGGGACACCTGGGTGTTTCAGTCGGTTGAGCGTCCAACACTTGATTTAGGCTCAGGTCATGATCTCAGGGTCATGAGATCAAGCCCTGCATCAGGCTCCACGCTCAGCGTGGAGTCGCTTGTCCCTCTCCCTCTGCTCCTCCCCTCACTCATGCAAGCTCTCTCTCTCAAATAAATAAATAAAACCTTTTTAAAATAATAAATAAATGTTCTATCTATCTATCCTTTTTTCTGCTCATATAGGCAGATGAGGAGGTACAAAGGACTCAAAAAGAAGATGATTCCCAAAGTTACTCAAGAGTAAAATTCTGTGATTCTGTACGAAAAATCAAGCCTAAACCCGTGGTGAGAAATCCTGTCTTTTTAAATCATGCATGCTTTAAATCATGTTTTTTGTTTATTTGTTTGTGTTTTCCAAAAATATCCAATGACAGATGCTTATATACGTACCCTGACTCTTATTACCATGGAATATGCAAGAAAAAAGCATGAGAACTGATTCCTACTTTTAAAATGCTAGACCTCAGCAGGAGAGATTAGAATACTGCCTGACTGGGTGAAGGGGGATGCATGGAAGGGTAGGAAATGTTAGCAAAAAGACTATTTTTTCAGCTCTGAAGTTGTACCAGCTTTCATTATGGGAAAAACGGGGGGTACCAACTCAAGAAGAATCAAAACCAAAAAAACCATTTTTTAAAAAAAGTTAACAGACCCCTGGATTGCTCATAATTAAACAAAACTATCTCAGCATTGGTCTATAAAATAATGAATCTACTTTTTGGTATTTTAATCATTTTTTTCAAAAGCTGTTACTGCTGTAAATAATATATTTATGTGCCTATGAGAATGTTTGCTAGTTTATAAAAAAGTGACTATTAAAATTACTTATTCAAAGAAGCCACCAACTGCCTGTCGCGTGTGTTAAAGTTTGTGACAGGTAATCTCGTACCTTTGACAAAGGTAATACACTTAGGATACCTAGAATGTGCTTGATGCCACTAACATCAAGCTGCTCTCAGTGAGCTGTGTGACACTTATCTCAGCTTCTCAATTCTCAATAAAATCTAAAATTCTATTGCACGCGCTTCTCCTTAGGTTCCACCTGGCTTCCCTTCTGCCGAAGAAGCCTATAACTTCTTCACTTTCAACTTTGATCCTGAACCAGAGGAATCAGAAGAAAAACCAAAAGCCAAAAACAGAGATGGAATGAACCAAGAGGAGGAGGAAGGAGAGGAAGAAGAGCCTCCTGTGCAAGAACACAAAATGGTATTTAATATTATGATGGTAATGAGGTGAGGGATGATGATGATGTTAATGACCACGATGGTGATGATGATGATGATGATGATGATGATGATGACATCTTCACCAGAAGGAAAGTGGCTGAGGACAAACCTGCCACCACCACACACAACAGCTCATCCATCCCTTAGTTGAAAGCAATAGGAATACTACGTTCACGGTACTTTCTGTACCCTTTGATTTTACCCCACAATTTGGATAATAAGGACCTTGATTAAATCTATTTCTGGTGGAAAAAGAAAAAAACAGAACAAGGCAGCTTACAGATTTTGCTAGACTCCACACAATGATTACTATCCATCTCATATGCAAAATGTTGGCCTCTCCCAGGCAAATGAATCCTTGCTCTCCTTCTTCCCACAACCTCACAGGTGATTAGCTTTTTGTGCCCCATTCCACACCCAAGCTATGACTCAGACTCTAACTGTGCATGGCACGTGTGAGACAAAAGAAAACATCCCATTAAAAAAATGGACAAAGGACTTGAATAAACATCTCTCCAAAGAAGATATACAAATGGCTAATAAGTACATGAAATACACTTCATATCTCTAATCATTAGGGAACTGCAAATCAAAACCACAATGAGATACCATTTTACACAAATTAGAATGGCTATTGTTAAGAAAGAAAGAAAGAAAGGAAAAGAAAGAAAGAAAGAAAGAAAGAAAGAAAGAAAGAAAGAAAGAAAGAAAGAAAGAAAGAAAGAAAGAAAGAAAGGAAAAGAGAAAAGAAAAGAAAGAAAAAAGAAAAGAAAAGAAAAAGAAAAACGGGCTGGCAAGGATGTAGAGAAATTAGACCCTTGTGCATTGCTGATGGCAACATAAAATGGTGCAGCTGTTATGAAAACAGTCTGGTCATTCCTCAAAAATTCAAACATGGAATTACTATGTTCTAGCAACTCCATTTCTGGGTATATATGCAAAAGAATAGAAAGCAGGCACTCAAACAGAGACTTGTACATTTAACGCTGAGAGAAGTGTTCTCAATAGCCAAAAGGTAAAAGCAACCCAAGTATCCATCAGCAGATGAATGGATAAACAAAATATGGTATATATATACAATGGAAAATTACTCAGCATTAAAAAGGAAAGAAATTCAGGGAGCCTGGCTTCTCAGTCAGTAGAACATGCAACTCTTGATCTCAGAGTTGTGAGTTTGAGCCCCACGTTGGGTACAGAGTTTACTTTAAAAAAAAAAAAGATTTGGATATGTCAATTATATCTCAATAAAACTGAAACAATTTTAAATAAATAACTTTTTTAATTTTTAAAAAGGAAAGAAATTCTAATAGATACAGAAAACACGTTTGACAAAATTCAATATCTATTCATGATAAAAACTCTTAAATTAGACATAGAAGGAATGTACCTCAACATAATAAAGATCATCTATGACAAAACCACAGCTAATATACTCAATGATGAAAGGTTGAAGGCTTTTCCTCTAAAATCAGGAGCAAGACAATGGTGCTCACTCTCACCGCTCCTATTTCAACATAATACTAGAAGACTTAGCCAGAGCAATCAGGCAAGAAAAAGCAATTAAAAGTATCTGAATTGGAAAAAATAAAATTGTCTCTATTTACAGATGCTTTGATTTTATGTAGAAATAATCCTAGAGACTCAACCAAAAAATTGTTAGACCTAATCAATGAATTCAGTAAAGTTGCAGCATACAAAATTAACATACAAAAGTCAGTAGTGTGGAGTACCTAGGTGTGGCCTAGATGGCTTAGTTGGTTAAGTGTCTGCCTTAGGCTCAGGTCATGACCCCAGGGTCCTGGGATCAAGCCCCACATCGGGCTCCCTGCTCAGCAGGGAGTCTGCTTCTCCTTTTCGCTTTCCCCGGCCCATGCTCTCTCTCTCTCAAATAAATAAGTAAAATCTTTAAAAACAAAACAAAAACAAAAATCAGTAGCGTTTCTTTACAATTACAACAAATTTTCTGAGAATGAAATAAAGAAATTGATCCCGTTTACAATAGTATCAAAAACAATAAAATACTTAGGAATAAATTTAACTAAGGAGGTGAAAGACCTGTACTCTGAGAAGTGCTAAGACACTGATGAAAGAAGTCAAAGAAGACACAAAGACATGTAAAGTTGTCCCATGTTCATGGATCGAAGAATTAATATTATTAAAATGTCAATACTGCCAAAAGCCATCTGTAGATTCCATGCAATCTCTGTAAAGATTTCAATGATGCTCTTTACAGAAGTAGAAAAAAAAACCACTCCTAAAATTTATGTGGAACCACAAGAGACCCCAAAAGCCAAAGTAATCCTGAGAAGAACAAAGCAGGAGGCATCACACTTTGATTTCAAGCTATACTATAAAGTTGCAGTCATCAAAACAGCATAAAAACAGACAAACAGGCCAGTGGAACAGAATCAAGAGCCCAGAAATAAACCCAAGCACATATGGTCAACTAATATTTGACAAGGGAGCCGAGAATACTCAATGGAGAAAAGACAGTCTCTTCAATAAGTGGTGCTGGGATAACTGGATATTCACATGTAAAAGAATGAAAGTGGACCCCTATCTTACACCACTCACAAAAAACTAAATCAAATGGATTAAAGGCTTAAATGTAAGACCTGAAAC